AATATTTGCGAGTCTTTATGTAAACACTATATTGAAAATCCCCTGCTGCGAATGTACTTATTGGTTATCGTTTATAACGCTGGCGAATTCCGTCCCCTTCATCACATGTAGAGCTAGGTTAGGGATATTTAATACTCTTCTGATTCTGACTGAACGAATTTACCACCTGCAAATAATAAATCGCTATTGGATGCTTTAATTCAGGCTCGAGATAAATGGCAGTGCTTTTTGCCTATATAAAAATTAAAGTCACTGTGATGATTCTCTATATTTATTGATTTTAATAAACCTAGTTTGCGCATTTAATCAGGGTTCATTTTTAAATGAAACTTGATTTTTCATTAAAAACTTTAGACGGACTGTGATGTTTAGCATCCTGATGTCACTATTAACCTGGGTTAAATCAATTTAAAAAAAAAAGCAATAAATCCGTAAAAGTCTTAATAAAAATTAAATAATCTGTTTTCTGCTCTTCGAACTTAAAATAAGGGGCTATAATGAAATTTTTTTCTTATATTAGACCGTTGCTTATAGTTGTCACAATTATTACCTTCGAGACAAAATTTAGAATGATAAAATTGGAACAAATTTTCAGAAAACCGACAATTTACTGGAAGAACAATTTTAATTCGATATTGGAATAATACGTGACAAAACAGGATCATGTTCCTCCTAAAAATTACAATACCAAATTCGTTAGCAATCACTCAACAAATGAACTTAGGACCTTAGGTAAATTATTTGGTTGTTGCTTTTTCATCTTTTATATTTTGGTGGGTACCAAAACTAACTCTAACTTATTAAAAATGCATTATTCCGTTTATAAGAATTTTATTGCACCTTTGTGTTTTAGCTTTTGTTTTTCATAACCTTCCCACTTTTGTTATTGCACACACGTTCCACGAAACAAATAAATATTGAGCCACCGATGCGAATTATTCGCATGACGGGAACTTTTCACGCGGCTCTGGTTCGCTGGGCAGTCATCGCGTGTCACTACAATCGGAGCGTAGACCGCATAAGTCACAAGAAGAGTTTAAATAAGCGATAGTTAGGATTACCACTTTGTTATTTCAGCTTTTAATTATTCAACAAGGTAGTCAATCAAATAAAACGACAGGGTACGTTTTATTTTTTAAATTTCGCTGCAAAAAACATGTATTGTGTACCCAATTCTTTTTATTATTATTAAATGGTCTAAACGCAATCAGACCGCCCTATAACACGGGCTTACGTCATTTTTGATAGCTGGTCATTGGGTATATATATATATATATATATATATATATATATATATATATATATATATATAAATAGGGCCATGTAACGCTTTGTATGTATGAGAATTTGTGTCATAAAAAGTATTTGCATTTGCATTATCATATATTGATAGTTTTGTATAAATCGTCTTATTAAATCGGACTTGTTAATATCATCTCCAGGTACCTCTTTTGATTATTCCATATGTTCATCGTAAAGACAGATTTTTTTTTTAAAGAAATACAAATATTTTTAAACATATACGAGAATATGTGACATTTTGAACGGTTGATTACTTTAGTAAAAAGCAAGAAATTATATGATATCTGTTGTACCACTATTAAATAGAGCTTTAGTAATGTTTACCGTTTCCAGTCTCGTTGACTAAGGACAATGAAGCCAAGCTCCGACGCTTCGACATTTGACATGAGGCACGAGACAATATGCCCTCGGCTAGATCCCCACAATTATAGGCGACACCCTTCGACAATTACGCTGGCTTTACGCAACTTTGCTAATGGCCTGTTATACGGTGCGTAAGTGAATCGTGTGAATGCAGCAGGTCTTTGACACGGCAGGGTTGTCGTGCGGCAAATATGCGAAAAGCCTTTTTATGTTTTTCGTTGGCTCGTCGTGTAAATTCAGAACGACTAGACCTGAATACATTAATTATCGGCGCACTGATTAGCATGTACTGCGACATACCTGTTACGTCCTCTAATCCAAATGATTTAAAAGTTATTGGCATGTCCCATAGTTTAAGCCCTAAACGTATATTTTACTTTTTATGAATTTTATTTCGTCATTGAAAAATGTTTGTATGAAGTTCATGGATGCCTCTGATGAAAACTCACGAGAACAAATTCAATAAGAACACGCGAAAGTTTATTAGCATCGAAATATTTGAAATATATTTTCGAATGACATTATTTTTCAGAAAATTTCTCTCTAATGCGACTTATCGCAACCTTAATAGGTATGTATAACTTTTTTTACAATTACTCTCTTACTCTTACAGTTTCCATTTTCTTGGAAGTAGAAGATGATAGATAGCTAGTATACAAACTAGTGACTTATTATAACTATAAACTTTTAGCGTAAATTGATAAATCTCATGATTACGATTACTAATTGAACAATTGGGTACACAAAAATTGATGAATTTAAAATTTATATTAAGGTATCGTAAAATTATGTTTTACAAGCACGTACGTCACAGAATATTAACAAGTTTACGTTATAAATTTTGACAAATTAACTAGCAACAACCCTATTAACAAAGCCGCGCGACAAATTTTCGATGTTCCCGTGGCGTTTGGCACCGGTCACGCTGAGGGATTGCGGATATAGTCGGGGATTATGGTCCGCTTTATTGATAATGGGCTTGTTTCGGGGGACGTGGCTATTGGAGGCTTACATGTGTATACCTCGATACATTGTTTAGGATTGGTAACGCCTATAACGGATCGATATTGCACTAAATTCATAGCCATTTGCGGATTCAATTGTTCCCATTATTACAGTTAGCGCTCATATATCAGTCATTTGAATACTGCCTTTCTAGATTTAAATGGTTTGCCCGATTGTGAAAAATATTTAAAGGTAAAATCGATTTAATGGGCTATTTTGAACAATGGAGATGACTAGATTTATAAACTAATGGTTTTAAGATCTATTTGTATTAAAATGGTCATTTAAAAACAAACAACAACAATTATAAACGTTTTACCATTTTAATACTGATTTTATTTATCACGATTAACGACGTTAACAAAGGCTTGTTTTCTCTTCTTCTCTTTCTATAAATAATAAGACATAATGTTACATACGCATTTTCAAAAAACTAAGCATTGATTAATACAGCTTCATGTCGTTATATAAGTTCGTTTTTATCAAGTATTTTTGTAGGCAAAAAGTTGAATGTTTTAATAGCGGAAATATAAGAAGCATTAACGTTTCTAGCGAATGGAAGAAAGTATGACACGGCGGTTTTACGTCGATAATGGATTGCACCAGCTGCCGGCTGCGAGTTTGCAATCCATTTCAGCTGCAATTCCACTTAGAGCTTGGTATAATGGCTGGCGCTAAGGTGTGCCTCTTTACATTTTAATGTGCCATCCAATCAGACTTGGACCCGATACCGTTATCATAGTTATAACGCTTTTATCAAAAAGCCTACATCGGCGCGCTTTTTCGAGTGACTAACTACTAAACTACTACTAACTACGTTAAATAAACGCAAAAAGTAGATTATAAATAAAAATAAGTTTTGCTTTATACTTTAATTATTGAATATTATGAATAACCCTAGTTGTATTGGACTTTTATTGGGATACAAATATTTTTCAAGAAGTATATTGTTTGTACTTCCGTGGGGTGCAGAAGAGGGTTCAAGCTCTTTGTCTATTCCCCTTGATTTTATGACAAACGCAATATGTACCGGATTTGTGATGAATGACTTATGGTTCATGGCAATATTCAGTGCATTTCATTCTGCAGGAAAAATTGGCGAAACAAAATGATAACAACCCTTTCGTAGATCCCTTACCAATTTAACTGATTAATGACAAGTTAAGTAACTTTTTTTATTCTTTCTAATTAGTAATTCGTAATTTTATTTCTTTTTTTATTCTTAGTAATTCGTAAGTAAATTTTTTGTTTTTATTATCAGTCCTAATGTAGTAATCTATAAAAATCTGTTTTATATTTTAAACGATTTAAAATTATTATTTATTGACCATGTTCCATTGAACATATTTATATACTTTATTAATCATCATAGTCATCATAATTGAATTAGATAGGACATGTGTTGTCCAATTCATTACCGTAAACGGTAGTAAAAGAAAGAATGTATAATCTTCCAAAAATACTTTCTCTTTTTCATATGCTAAAATAATTTCACTTTCTCCCTCTCGAAATATATCATGATGAATATGTGACCCTATTTAAGTAAATACCTTCTTGGTTACTTGAATTAGTCACCTTAAGGCCATTATTCAGAGACTAAAGTGGGCATTGCAACTAATGTATTCAAGCTTAATCCACTGTAAATGCACTGATAAGTCTCCTTAAAGATCTCGGCTCCTGAAGGAAAGCTTAGGTACCCAAACAAGTGCTTAATCAAGAGGCCTGGTCTCTTTTAGACGGAAAATCTTGCCCATGATATTGATGGTAGGAAAAAAGACACAGGGTCTTTCAGTGTTTCAGAAGTTTTCCCGTCTGAAATGTACCAAGAGGAAGGCTAATAAAGTAACTAAAATCTGCTGGTTACGGGTTTTTAAAAGCAAATTGTTTAAAAGGGTTCTTAATATTATGTTTTGTTTATCTATCTAATGCAAACTATGTCTGGCTAGAGCTGAATATCAGAGTTGGTGTACCTTCGGTGCTACAACTTTAGTACTGGACCATTACGTCTAGAAACGTGTGGCTGTATTATTTCTCTTATTTATGAAAAAGTTTACTTATGAATGAAGTTGTAAATTTAGCCAAAAAACGATTTATTTAGTTATTTAATGATGTGAAACTTCTTTTGGCGCGTTTGGAAAAATTATGAGAGCCCAACGACCCTTAAAAAAGCGACATGATGTTCAGTAACCGAATTTAATCTTTGCAACCGTAACAAATTTTTGACATTTACCAACAATTCCAAGTTATTTAAATACACCGTTATCAATTGCATTTAATGCCTTTACGCTAAAGGAGTATGTAATTTTTTTTTAATTGAAATTAGGCCTCACCTTCCAGGGTGTAGGCGGTGCGCTGCGGCTGCATGCCCGGCGCGACGCTCACGCCGGCGTGCGACGTGTTGTGGAGCGACAGCGCGCCCAGCAGATCTAGCTCGGTGGCTGCGAACAAAAACAGAACGCTTTCAAGATGTAATTGGAAGGACAAACGCTAAAAACACTAACAGATTCAATCAGACACGCCAATGAACGCTTAGCAAGAATTAGACTCATCTGCTTGACAGTTACGCAATAAGATAATTGAATGGTACGAGTAGTGAGAACATATTTCTGTTTTGCAGAGCAGCCGCAAGTTAACATGGAGAGCAATAATACACTAGACTTCAAAAATAAAGGAGTAACATCGCGATAACTCCCAAATTGGTTTATTTAAATTGCTCGTATAAATTATGTTATAATTAGGCTAGTTATAATTATTATAAATATTAAAAGTGAACTCTCTTGTATTTTTTTTATTGTGTATTTGTACAATTTACAGTTTAAATAAATAAAATTTCGAATTTTGAAAACTAACGAAATAAATTAATATATAAAAAATTAAAACCACAATGTTTTTACGTTTTTTCTTAAACCAAGCTGGAAAATTAAAAAGAAAATTGTGATTGTCCACACTTATCAGTGCAGTATCATGGCGCTATCACATGTAGAATGTACACGGATTACCACAAAAAGGAAGAAGAAGTTAGCGTAGTGATGCTAAACCAGTAGGAATATCTTTATCTAACGACCAAAGAATGCACCACCGATTTCATGAGACTGGCATGAACCTTAAAAGACAAGGAAATGGTGACCAAGGTCCATAAAGGAAGACCGATTCATGATCGGCACTATACAAAGAAATCTACATCTTAAGGCTGTTCAGGTCCGAAACAGGCTTCAAGAAGTTCATCACAACAATATAAGCCCTGACACGATTTTACGACAAGTGAACTGAAGCTGATACAAAGGCTTATAGCCAAAGGCCAATAAATTATCACATACTTCCCAGAAAACATCGAGTTGTCAGGTTATTGCTTGTTTGAAAGCACGTCCAAAGAACAAATGAAGTGGTCCAGGATTATTTTTTGTTTTAGATTTTGTGTATCTACACGTGTAGGCAGACGAAGAGTATATAGACGACGTGGAGAGTGATATCTCTACAAGTGTCTACGTGTTTTAAAAAAAAGGTACCATTCGAAGGACGGCCAATAATGATGTGAGCTGAAATATCTTCAGAGAATCGTACGGAGTTATTCGTGATAGAAAACGGGTATCAGATAGCTCTCAAATTCGTAGAGGTGTATCGATTGATCATATTGATCCTTTCTTAGTGAATATGGACGCGAATTCCATTTCATCCACGATAATGCGCAGCCTGATAATGGTTAATTGTCAATACGTATAAATTATATTCAAGAAGTCAGATTAACTGTATTAAGCGGCCAGGTCGCAGCCCAGATTTATATCCTAAGTAGATAATTATATTGGACAAGCTTGGGAGAAGTGTCAGATAACGCTTTCCAGTTCCAGCTAACTTACACGAGTTGAAGAGTACGTTATTGGAAGAATGGTCAAAGGTAGACCAAAATCGTATTAAAATTTTGCCGCATTGTCTTAATAAGCGGTTGCTCGTAGAGAAAATACTTAAATGTTAAAACAACAAACATCTCTAAGTTTCTTTTATAAGATGCGATATGTATTTTCTATTTTTTCTACAACTAATACGTCATCAACAACACAGTTTTACGAATCAATTTTAGATATTTAGGAAACTATAGTCGCTTTTATAGCGACCAGTTATATTTGCAGTCCAGTGTATTTTGTTTAATAAAATCCTTATTTCAACAGCGCCGATTAGATTAAGCTAACTGATCTCATTCAAATAATTATGCCGAAATCATCGAGAAGATTTAAAAATCAAAATGAGATATTTTAAAATCCGTAAAATATTATTATCTTACAAGTATTATATATAATTGTATTATATCTACGCATTGCATAGATATAATAAAATAAATTGTTACGTTGAGAAAACTACACCAAAATACATACTGCATAAAATAACAATGACAGCTGTCAACCAGGTGGTTAGGAAAAATTGATAAATTTCCCTTTTTGCTTTCATGATAAGTCTTACGCTTCTTTCCCAAATTTGAATTAAATTACCAAATTACTTTGTAACGTAACTGTATCTATAAAATTCTTATAGCTGTTATAATCATTTCGCCGAACAAATAAATATTTAAGTGTCAATAAACGAACAGTGGCCTACATTCTAACAATCAATATGTTAAGGCGGAGGACTCCGAAAAGCCGAGACGCAGTCTCTATCGATCGCAGACGGCGAACATGGTCTTGTGGCAGCGTGGCGTGTCCAAGTTTTGGTGATGTACCCACAGAGTTGTAATCCTAACCGAGGCAAATACATATTGCTGTTACAACCTAGTGTATTATTTCGTAGCAACACATGTAAGGAATTCGCACTACGAGAGGTACACGGATACTGAACCTTAAATAACATAAACCATATAAGCGTACTGAGTGGTAGATGCTGCAAGTATCAAACATTAGCATTAATTACCCTTAGCCCCGTCTGTCAAAATCAATTTTTATGTCATCCCATATTGCATAGTTTCAAGGTATATATGTCTTAATAATTGTACGATATGCAGCAAATATCGGCAAAGAAGTCGTGACAGAAATTAAATAAAACTGTTTCGAGTAGTCATTTGTATACTGAAATGTGTTGTATAAAACAGTACTAAAAGAGATTTTTAATAATGCTACCGTGTTATTATCATCACATTTCATAGTTCGCGTAAGAAATCTTGTTGTAGTAGCGAAAATAGCTGGAGCATCATCTATCACAAGTAACCCGGTCACGTAGCGGGTTACATGTTACCGTAGCACCGACTGTGACGTAGGCCTTAACTAGGCTACGTCGGCTAACTATGAAAAGTTTATTCTGTTTTATTATAGTTTTTAAACTGTGTAAAATAATATTACATGAAAATACTAGTCTTTCTAGGATATACGATATTACTTTTTAATAAATATTACACACATTTTTGTAAAATTATTATATCATACTTGAATTCGTGGTGTCATGCGTTGCAATAAATACACTGAGTGTATGTTTTATTAAGCAATTTTTATTAGTTATAATAGAATTTCTAACCCGATATAAATATTTTTTGTGTAAATTAAAAATTTTATAATAGAGTAACCACTTAATTAAAAATTTCTTTTGCTTTCGTCAAACATTTATTTTTATGTGCAAGGTTTTTCATTATAATATTTGCTTTAACAAAGCAAATATTATAATGTGATGCCTGCCCAACCTATTTTTATATCACACTGTCCCAACGATACGTCACAGCTAATCGATCTTATGTTTCCTCCGACATTTGTAAATAGCCATTACGATAGGGATTAAACCGGAAATAACAGAGAACTCATTATGGTTGTACTTAATTCACACTTCAATTAAAAAGCGTAGCAGTTTGCGCAGAGTACTCTTCAGTCTTAAAAGCACCGCCTCTAATTTGCGACGCCTCTGCCGTAAAATAACCAATAGGGATGACAACCTAACCAAATACTACAAAATGAGTCATTAAATATTTATTTATTTCTTAAATAAAATCCAAAAATTCTTTCCGGATTTTTGTAATTTAACTAATTACATTTTAAGTTTGTTATCCCTAGCATAGTCCACTATTAGCACTCAAAAGTAAAACTGTGTTTTACAAGAGTCCTTAACAATTCAACTATTTACCACGATAACTTTGTTTTATACAGTAATACTTGATTAATCAATTCAAACATATGACTTCTATCATACCGCAAATTTAATGTCTATTAGAAGGCTAAAAATTACTCATTTTATTGTCGTCGCTAATATATCCTACATTATTCTAGTTTATATAGTACTCCGTTTCTAAATTAATTTTAGATTTTCGAACTGTATTAGGTACACATTCAGTTTTTTTGTTGTCTAAGTTTTTTTTGTGAAGGTCTAACTTTTTTATTCAATACTAAATATATTTAAAGTATTTTTCAATCGTTTAAAACATCAATATAAATAATTAAATTAATATTTATGTTCTTGTAAAATATTTCGAAGATATGTGAAGTCCGCCAATTCGCAGTGGGGCCGCGTGGTGGACTATGCCCTGATACCCACATGTATAGGCTGATACTTTACTTTATGTTCTTGTTATAATTGTATAAACTTAGTAGCACGCTTGTTTTTCTTGATTTTATTTAAAAGTCACTAAACAATAAGTTCAGAATAATCACGCACAGAACTCAATTTAACGTCAGTCAGTTGCCAATCGCTCATTCTTTTGTCATTAATAAAATGGTATAAAAGTTTTCATGAGATGGACGTGCAATAAAGCGGATTTATCAAGCGCCCCGACAACCCTCAGGGTGGGCCGCGTCGCCGACACGTCTGCCTCCCCGTCTCCGGCGCGATACCGATGTTCCAGATTGCCTCGTAAACTGCCGCCATAGCGGCCGCACTGCTAGCTTCCAGTGGTATTGTAACTGCCACGCTTTCAGCGTTACCAGAGGCTTTATTGTACTCAACGTCATTTTTAAATCGTCTACGCTTCGGAATACGCTTTTACTGAAACTCCTTATTTTTATAGTTGCATTCGCAAAAGGACATAATGAGTGTCGACGACCTACCGAACGGTGTCTAACCATTTTTTACTTACGGGTATTATTTTAATTTGATAATGAAAACATGTTTAAAACTTTCACTGCTCTTGTACACATTAAACACTGAAGTGGCAGTTAAATATTTAGAAGGTGCCACAATATTTATACTTATGGAAGATGTAATTTCGACCGATTCCAGCACTACGGGCTAGCATGCGGCCGGAACGTCTATGGTACCGACAATTTCGCCCATTTGCCCGAAGGCCGTAAAGTTGTTCCTCCACGCGATCGTAATTCTTTCGCTACATATCGTTAAGATACCAGTAATGTACTCAAGCCAGCAGAGTTTTACAAACGTTTTACTGCTTATGCAAAGTAATGGTTCATTTTTCGAAACGTTTTAGATGGCTACTGCTAAAAGTGATTAAGTTCCTAAGGTAATTGAATAAAGAATTATT